GTCTGGATGACCTCTCAAGGTCTTCTCCAGCTCTGTACCGAGTAACAGCCTGATATGTAAATGACCATAATCGCCGGAAACCTGCTGTGCTGACACAGCCTGACCCACGCTGCTTGTGACCTGCTGTAGCCATTGCTGTTTGCAAGACACAATCTGTTGCTGTCAGAGGAAAACATGTATCCCAGGGAGGGTCCTACCAAGAAGGACAGGGACAGTGGTGACCGGGGTTCTTATTTTGGTGCTTGTCTGAGCCATGGGGAAAAGCTACTTGTGAGAAAACAGAAGTGAGTCAAAGGATGACACAGTACAGGCAGCACAGGGCTGGCCACCCTGCTCCAGAAACCAGGAGTGACTGCTCACAGCCCGTGCAGTGTCGCAGGTCAGTTTCACTTCATTTATGGGAGGGAGCTACCAGTAAAGCAGCTGCTCAGCAGGAACCTCCAGACGCACCTCTCAGACTGCATCACAGTTATGCTCTAACATTTCTGGCTGAAAGCACATGCACCTGGTTGCACAAATGTTCTGCCCAGTTAAAAATGCCCCCAGCAGAAGCCCACCAGCCCACCGGCGGTTCTCCCGCACGACAAGTGCCCGTCACCCAAGCCTCTGCGCGAGGCAGCGCCAATGGGATTTAAACCACATCAGTAGCACAACGGGAAACCTCTTCAGCTGATCAACAAGGCAGAGAACTCCAAGCAGCCTACAGCTGCCAGGGGAAGATGGCATATCCCAGGCACTCCTGCCCTGCTGCTGAGCTGGATGGGCACGTACATGGGCTCGTGTCATCCTGACAGCCGGAGCCAAAACACCTTCCCCCCAGCCCTGCCACCAGCCTTGCACCATACACACGCTACACCTTGTGACTGTGCATGGTGTTCTGTGGGACAGCAATGCCACCGAGTCACATCTTAGGCTCAGCAAAAGCTGCTTCTCACCTGTAGCAAGGAGAGATGCTTATATGGTGATGGGAAGCAAGGGTCAAGGGCTGGATGGCCACACTGCATACCTTTAACAACCTCTGAAACTGCAGGAACTGAAAGAGCTGAGTGACTTAGCATGGACACGAGAGGTTCCTCACCCATGCACAAGTCAGATGCACAATTCAGAAGCAACTAACAGAACTGTCCTCCAGGCCAGGCTAAATCTAGTGCCCTGCTTTAGCGAGCGCCAGGATGGGGAAAAGCAACTATTCCATTGTCAGGAAAAAATAGGGGTGAGCATCTCTGTGATACCTGTGTGGGGTTCCTCAATGGGACGGGGCCCTGCCTCCCTGCTCCACAGCGGTGCAAACCCGACACCGATATTGAAGCAGTGAAACCGGCAGCCCTCGCACTGGTCCCTTGTGCATTTCAGTCACTGGACCCAGCATCGAGCCGCCGGAACGTGCGGGGCGGGCAGCGCTGCTCGCTTCTCTCACCTCCAGTTTGCCCTGAGCCCCTCACTACCGGATTGCTCCCCAAAGCCGCTGGCATCGTCACCTCTCCACGAGGATTTAACCCGCCTGGCTCCCATCGCGCGCGAAGGCGTTCACCATAAACGTGAGGGTGCAAGAAGCGCATCACCGAAACGAAGCCCAGCGCACCGGCACCCGGACGCCCGCCCGCGGAGTCGAGCAGGGACCCCCGGCGCTGGCACCTCCGGCCCTGCTGCGCACGGGCGGGCACGCCCGCACCGGGGATCCCGCGGGGCCAGGACGCGCCGGATCCGGCGGGTCCCCAACCCAGAGGCTCCCGCAGGATCCCGCCGGTCAGGATTACCCCAGGTCCGGGTCGCACCGGACCCCCGGGGTGCAGCGGGGCCCGGGTCCCCCAACACCCCCGCGCCCCAAACCAGGGCCGGGTCCCAGCTCCCCTCCGGAGGAGCAGCCGAGCACCCCCTTACCTTTGTGCCCGCCGAAGGCGCCGTACCAGGACAGCGAGAGCAGCGCGCAGAGGCAGCCGAGCAGCAGCGTGAGCGCCGTGCCGCTGCGGAGCCTCATCGCCTCCTCGCCGGCGGGGGCGGCCGCATGTCCCGGGCGCGGCGCGGCCTCGGCGGAGCGGAGCGGAGCGGTGCGGGAGGAACCGGCCGGCCGGCCCCAGGCAGCGACCGCACCGGGCCGGGCCGCGCCGGGGCGGGCGGGGCGGGGCGGGGCGGGAGGGGCGTAGCCAAAGGGGCGTGGCCAAAGGGAAGGGGCGGGGCGGGAGCGGGCGGAGGGCGCCCCCGTGCGGGGACGGCGGAGGTAGGGGTGAGTGTATGTACATGCGTGTGTGCTTGTGCGTGTGCGTGTGTGTGTAAATGTGTGTGTGTAAATGTGTGTACATACATATGTGTGTAAACGTGTGTGTGCGTGTGTGCATACATGTGTGTAGGTGTGTGTGCAAACGTGTGTGTGCGTGTGTGTGCATACATGTGTGTAGGTGTGTGTGTAAATGTGTGTGTGCATGTGTGTGTGCATACATGTGTGTAGGTGTGTGTAAACGTGTGTGTGCGTGTGTGTGCATACATGTGTGTAGGTGTGTGTGTACATGTGTGTGCATACATGTGTGTAGGGGTGTGTGTAAATGTGTGTGTGCGTGTGTGTGCATACATGTGTGTAGGTGTGTGTGTAAATGTGTGTGTGCGTGTGTGCATACATGTGTGTAGGTGTGTGTAAACGTGTGTGTGCGTGTGTGTGCATACATGTGTGTAGGTGTGTGTGTGTGTGTGTGTGCATACATGTGTGTAGGTGTGTGTGTAAACATGTGTGTAGGTGTGTGTGTAAATGTGTGTGTGCGTGTGTGTACGTACATGTGTGTAGGTGTGTGTGTGCATGTGTGTGTGCATACATGTGTGTAGGTGTGTGTAAATGTGTGTGTGCGTGTGTGTACATACATGTATGTAGGTGTGTGTGTAAATGTGTGTGCGTGTGTGTGTACATACATATGTGTGTAAATGTGTGTGTGCATGTGTGTGCATACATGTGTGTACGTGTGTGTGCATACATGTGTGTAGGGGTGTGTGTAAATGTGTGTGTGCATGTGTGTGTGCATACATGTGTGTAGGTGTGTGTGTAAACGTGTGTGTGCGTGTGTGTGCATACATGTATGTGCGTGTGTGTGCGCACACATGTATAGGTATGTGTGTGCGTGTGTGTGCATACATGTATGTAGGTGTGTGTGTAAACGTGTGTGTACGTGTGTGTGCATACATGTGTGTAGGTGTGTGTGTAAATGTGTGTGTGCGTGTGTGTACATACATGTGTGTAGGTGTGTGTGTAAATGTGTGTGTGCACATGTGTGAATGTACACATACTTGGTTCATTCGTATAGACGCACATACACACACTTGTGCACACACCTGTGTCTGCACAGAGGTACGCAGATAACTGTAGATGCCTGCATGGGTCTATACACATGTGTGTGCACACACATGCCTGGGTCCATGCATCTGTCTGTGTGCATATGCCTGGGTCCATACATGCATATGGCCATGTGGGTGTGTGCACGTGCACCTGTATGCACACACGGCAGTGCACACATCTCTGTGCATGGGGGTGTGCACCAGGACCCTCGCACAGCTGGGGGTGAGCGTGCAGGATGAGGTGCAGGCAGCAGCCCCCATGGCCGTGCAGTGAGTGCATATTCGCTGCCATTCCGCAGGAGCGTTTCATCTCGGTCAAGGAAGCAGCACTTAATGTTTACTGAGAGGAAATCGATGCCGGATGCATACTGCAAATGGGAGTTGCTGCCTGGAAGGACACCATCACTCTTCCAAAGGACCTGGCAACCAGGGTTATGGCCTCAAGCTGCTTCTTGGGTGAAGGATGGAAGAAAACAGATTTAAATATTATTTTGCCCTTGTTTTCTGCTATTAATGGGTCTGGTTTTATTTCACTGCAGACCAGGAGGAGCCATACAGGGAGGCTGGGTTCGAAATGCTGAGTTTACACAGCTCCATCACCTGAACTTGTTCCTGTGGTTGTCCGTGAGGTCAAAAAGAAGGTGGCAGCTCATGAGCTCCATATGTGGGTACATCATTCCTCCAGCAAGAGTTGTCATCTTCCATTCCCTGGAGCTCTTTTAGCGAGTAAATAGTTCTCAGATGTGTAAATATTTGGCATCCAGTGATCCAGGTCTGTTGCTTGAAATGTTTGGATCAATTAGAGGGTAATGTAAGGTGAAGCAGAGATGGGAATGGGGATCCAGGCACTCAGAGATGCTCGGCTGCAGCCTTGGAGCTGAAGTAGCCAGCAGGGATGTGCTGGGAGCCATCCATGCTCCATGGGCATGTTTCCTCCCGGCAGCACTCCAGCTGACATGGGAATCCTTCTGAGATGGGGAAATCCATCAAATGGGTCCTCAGGCCTCTACCCCATTTCCTTCTGGAAAGGCAAAGGGAGCTCAGCACCCAGGGGCTGCCTTGAGGAGCTGAAAGCCACACGTGTGTAGGAAGAAAAGTAGGGATCACCCATTTCTGCAGGGATGGTCGTGTCTGCTGCATCCTTGGACTCTTCTCCAGTTTATGAAATAAAACACACTTTTCAACTCGAAACAGTCTCTCCCAGTGACTAGAAAATGCAGGAAGGAAATCGGCAGAGGGAGCCCTTTGGATGGCACCAGGCTTCTGCCTCCACTGCCAGAAGCCAGCCAGGAGCTGCAGGGCTCACACCGGGCACATCCCTGAGTGAGGCAATGCACTGAACATCACTCTTGGGAATACTGAAAGGAATGAGGAATCTGTGCTTCCTCCCCTGGATTTTGCAAGGCATTGCCCAAGTGACCATCACCACAGAACATGAGCCAGCAGCACATCCCACCGACAGCATTTTCACCAGCAGAGCAAAGAAAACAAGCCCCAGAAGCTCTGTCCCACCCAGCCCGCATGCTTTCTCGCCTTAAACCTGTGTTAAACACAGAGGGTTCACAGGAATTAATGGCAACTTCTCCCCCTCCCCAGAGGCTGCAGACAAGCAAGAGCTGCTGGTGGGAAAGGCGCATGAAATCCTACCACTGTGACAGAGTTTAGGGAGATAACATGACACGTTTTAGAGCATTAGATGTTAGCTGGTTTATTTTCAGAGGTGCAAAACGCTCCTGCCACCCGGGGTATGTGGTGTGTCTGCAGCGGAAGAAAACAGAATAGCATTAATAATTTCTCCAAGACAATTAATTAGGCTCTTTCCCAAGGATAAAGCTTAATCTCATTTCTGCTGTTACATTTTGTCTTCATAAAAGTCTGAAGAAATGAATGAGCTTTATAGCACCCTTGCATGACAGAAACCTTGGGCTCTCTTGTGAAAAACGAGGGACTAAGCAAAACTGCCAGCACTTGTGATCTTTCTCTCAGACCTGCAAAGTTCCCTTTTATTCTTGAAATCCCTCCCTTTATCCCAGTTTTGGCTTTTATTCTGTTTTTAACAAGCAAACTTTGAGTCTCGGTCAAAGTCTAAAATAGGAATTGCAGAGATTCAAAACCCCAGCAGCAAATAAACAGAGAGAAGACGGTTGTTTTAAGGCGATCTCATGATCTTTGAACAGTTGATGTTGGCAATACTGAGCATGCTGCAGAAATGAGGGGCCTTCCATGGAGAGCACTCCGAAAGCAGCCCAGAGGTCCTGAGGCCATTACAGAAATTAGAAAGAGAAAACATTTGTTAGGCCTAGATAGGGAATGTAATCCAGGTTTGTAGCTGATTTTATCTAGCTCGCTAAAGAGCTTGGCTCTGGAGTTTGAGCAGTTCGGGCTCAGTCCTCCCTAGGCAAACAGCACTTGCTGTTTGTCTCATAAACCAAAGTAACTTCATTTTCTGTATGTCTTATAGGCTGCTGTGAAGTGTTCTAAATTCTCCTTAGCCACCAGAGATGAAGATCACAACAGGGTGTTTACCTTGGCTGTGTTGACATGCTGATGCTTTAATTCAGGGCAAAAGCCACACATCAGGTTCTCAGTGCAACATTCACCCCAGGCAATTTGTGTAGGCTGCAAGGCATTCCTGCACGCTTTTGGGAACATGAAAACCTTCAGTATTTTCACGCCGCCCGCAGTGTGCTTGTGCTTTGTGCCTGCTTTCCAAGTGTTTTCCCTGTCTGCTCCTCTGTCTCAGTGAAAGCACCGTCCCAGAGTTTCCTGCCCTTAAAAGTTACATGTCGCACCAATGAGAAGTGGTGCTGAGCCTGTGTAAACACCTGACGTGGCAGAGCTAACCTTCAGAAAGACTCAACCTCAAAAATGAGACAGCAAAAATAAACCCTCCCAGCTTTCCCTTCTGCCTGCGCGGCTGAGGAAGGACATTCTGCTTCAGAGGCACTGAGCTGTTTTCACTGGGCTGGAGGAGGAGGGAAACCATCATGGGATCAAGCTGAGTCACTACCATCTGACTGATGTGTCCAGAGCATCCTGCACCTCTCCAGAAGCATCTGGAAGGAGCGTGTGGTCTGCAGCACCCAGTCCAGTCCAGTGAGCACTCACCCGCTGGGGCTCTGCGCTGTCCCTCCATCACCACTCATCACTGCCAGAGCTGTGGGAACACACAGGACAAACCTTCCCCTCCTCACCAAGAGTGCCAGGGCAGTGATTTGGGCCTCAGGCTGGGGCAATGATTTAGGGAAGAATTCCCTCTGGAACATCATCACCAGCCTCTACGGTGATTTGCAATCGAGGAATAGACCCCCCCAGCCTTCATCCTGTCAGGGCTTTACTGTGAACATGAAAGTTTGGCCATAAGGAGCATTCTGGTGATCGTGCCCGCAGAGCAAGAACCTCACCAAACGTTTTTAAACACTTCCCAGCAGAAAGTGGGTGTAGAGAGAAAGCAGAGCACTGCAGGGACACTTATTGCTCCTTTTTTGAGCCTTTCCTCTATACATTTGAAATTTAAAACTCAAACAGCTTTTTTTCCCCACCCCTTTTGCTGTTCCTTTGCCACATCCACCTCCGAAGCTGGGTGTTCAGCATCAAGGGCTGAGAAAACACTTTTTGAGCAGGGGTTGCTGTGATGCTATGGGATTCCTAAAGAACCATAAGAAAACATCCACACAGCCAGAGCTTCACGCTGAGAATGCCAAAACCCGGATCCTCCAGCAAACAGAGGGAAAAACATCTGAACGTCTGTGGGAATACAGCCCAGCTGCTCACACAGCCTCCACGGGGGGCTGAGAAACTGCCCAGAGGCACATCTCAGGGCTGGGGGCAATAGGAAACGCAGGGAGAGGGAGGTCCAAGGTCTGGACCAGAGAAGAGCTTGCTGGGAGGAAATCCCCGACCTCGAGGAGGAAGAGAAGGAGATGACTCACCGAGTCAGCCGTGTCCCGTGACGGGTGAGGTAAGCTCAGAGCAGCCTGGTGAAAGCCTTGTTTTCCTTATGTTTTGTTGAAGTGCATGGTGTCACCACCGGAGAGCTGAGCGTGACTCAGCATTCTCACCAGGAGGAGGGAAATTCCCTCTGGCTTTTGGCCGCTTCCATGTTTGCCAACTGGATTAAGGTTCACATGGAGGAAAGCTTAGATTTCTGATTTCAATTTCGTGCATCACCTGATAAATGCATTGATTAATGTGGAGACACAAGTGGCTTGAAAAGACCCAGCAACTTGAGGACAACCCACTGTGCCTCAAACACCCAGGCGTGATGGAGCGGGGAGTAGGCAATCAGTCCTGTCTAAGGTGGCAGCAACCTTTCCTAAGGAAAGGATGTGCTGGGGCTGGGTCCCAAAATACAAATCTCTTTCTCTACAAACAAGACCAAAAGCGGCCATCAGGGTCCTCAGAAACAGGACATGAGATGGACACACTGGAGGTGTTGCTTGGCAAGGCAGAGTCAGCATTGGCAGTGTCCTGTGCTGCATGTCCTACAACTGCTAACCCTTCTTCTCATTTTATAGAGAAAAGCAATAATCCAATGATGTCAAGTCAGTAGCTTTCACCAACACTTTCAGAAATAAGAATACACACAGCAAACAGGGAAGGTGAATGTGATACACGTGCGCAAACCTTTCGATATCTCGTGCTGTAAAAGCTGGTGAATCGTTCCCTGTGCCACATCATCATGCTTAAATCTGAATCTGTTCATGTTTAAACTTAAACACATGGCTTCACAGTTGAATATTGCCATGCAATACCTGGAAATTGAAGTTCCTAGAAAATACTAGTAAAGGTTTTAAGTTTAAAAGGGCAACCTTTTTATTGTAAATAGTGTTTTCCAGAGAAGTGATGCAATGTCAAAATTGCCACACAATGACAAAAATGTAGCTATATGGAAGGCCAAGTGTTTTAACATATATACTTTAGGTCAAGAAATAAACTACCTTCCCATTGTGGCAATTAAAACTTATCCTTCGCTTGATTGCAGAAGATGGTAAATCATTACAGTTTCTCCTGAGCTTTTATTATCTTAAACCAAGAAATATGTCACCAATAGTCAGAGTGGTCAGGCCCTTGGGTGAGAGGGAATTAATACCAACGAGGCACCTAATAATCATCGATCCATCTTTATTTAATTACCCTTGGATGGCACAGATGGTGTGTTCTGCCAGCTGGACTCCCATGGCCAGATTAAGAGGCCTGTCAACTGTATCTGATCTGCACGAGAGCACTGCTGCCAACCAGCTTGGAAAGCCCCCAGAACATCCTCCTTAATGTCAGTTGTGTTTATATCAGTATCTTTATTTTTAGCCCCCCTTCTGAAACACCAAGTTCAGGGAAGAGCATTAGCCTAAGAGTTATTTATTCCTGCCACGCTGAGCATGTGAAGCACTCCGATGGGTGCTGTCACCCAGCAAGAGTGGGGCAGGCACTGGGATCCCACCTCCATCACCTGGCCGGGTTGGCATTATGAAGGTGATGAACAGGACCAATGTGGCCAAGTGCTGTGTTAGCACTTGCTCCAGCTAACGCAGGCGATGGGGACCAGCGGACCCCGAGGTGCGCTGCACGTCTGCAGTCATGTTTGCCCACCAGTGGGTCTTGGAGGCCACTGTGACTACCCAGAAGGTACCACCACCGCCGCACACGATCCCCAATGCCCGGTCACCGGTGATGCTCCACCGAACAGCACAGCCCCGCTCCCCTAGACCCCTATGGACCACCGCGGCCGCAGCTCCGCGGTGCACACGGGGCCTAGGGGGCGGAGCCTGGCTCACAGGGGGGCGGAGCCTACCACCGGTGGGCGGGGCGAGAGCCCCCACCCCCGCGGCACTATAAGCCCGCTGCTCCCGATCCGCCTCCCGCTACCGCCCCGTCGCTCACCCGTTCCCGGCCTCTCGACGGCAATTCCTGCTGCGCCACAGCCATGGCGGCGCTGACGGTGAAAGCCTACCTGCTGGGCAAGGAGGAGGCGGCCCGCGAGATCCGCCGCTTCGCACTGCCGCTGCCCGTCCGCTACCAGGCCATCCATGACCGCATCGCCGAGCTCTTCCAGGGGCTGCTGCGGGCCGGGCCGCCGCCCGCCTTCCGCATGCACTATAAGGGTGAGCGGGGACCGGGGGTGGCTTCTCTGCGGGAACGGCGGTGGGTCAGGCCCTGAGAGAGGTGCCCCGGGGGTGAGGAAGCCTCAGGGCACCGGGCTCCCCGCTGTCACCCCCGGGGTACCCAGCACGGGCTGCCGCTGTGACACTTGACCGGGCTCCTAATGCTGCGCTTTGCCCTTTTAGATGAAGACGGGGACCTGATCGCGTTTTCTACCGACGAGGAGCTGGAGATGGCGATGCCTTACATGCAGGATGGCGTCTTCCGTGTTTACATCAAAGGTAACGTCGCTCAGCCCCGAAGGGCGGCGGCAGGACTCGATGTCGTGCTGGGCACATTGCTGGCAGGGTGCCGAAAATGGGAGAGACCAGCACCAACCCTTCCCTTTGTCCTCAAGGGCCTGGTGGAACCGGCGGTGTTTGTGGGGGGAGATTAAATAAAGGGCAGGGTAATACACCAGAATATGAATTCTTCCTGCTGAGGTGGGGCAAGCAGATCACAAGTTTCCTCCTAGCCCTGTCATCTTGGCTGGCCCAATGTGAGCCACTGTTGTCATACTGGCTCCCTGGAAACATGAGCCTAGTCCTGGTATCTTTAATATTCACAACAATGCATAAGGAAGCCTTAATTCCAGTGTATTGAGTGCTTGGACACTCCCTTCTGTTATTGTGGATATCTGCAAAGCTTTATCTGCAGTCCCTTTAATGAGCCACACAAGCCAGTGGCTGTTGTCCCTGTTCTGCCTCCTGGCATCTCTTCCTGGGTCCCTCTCTCAAAAACATTTTGTTCTTGTAGTGCTTAGGAAGGTAGGATGAGAAGCCAAACTCGATAGTACAGCATTAATCCATAACACATCTCTTGGCATGTTTATTCTAGATAAGGCATGCTCCACTTAGAGGAGCAGGTATCTTTGTGGATCCCCTTTGCACTTGGTTGAAGTTCTTTTACATGCCCCCCCAAGCTTGTCTTTGGCAGCCAGTGTAAAAATAAACTGACCTAGTAAGTCAATACTGCACCAACAAGAGCCGCTTGTGCTTCCTTCTCCTCTGCCTGATTTCCAACCTTTAAATAGTAACCTGTTCTTGATGCAAAGTTTCCTTTCCCTTAATAGAGAAAAAGGAGTGCAGGCGGGAGCATCGCTCGCAGTGCAGCCAGGAGCCCCCCCGTGACATGGTGCACCCCAACGTGATCTGCGATGGCTGCGAGGGGCCGGTTGTGGGTGCCAGGTTCAAGTGCGCTGTCTGCCCAGACTATGACCTGTGCAGCACCTGCGAGGGTAAAGGCATCCACAAGGAGCACAACATGGTGATGTTCCAAAGTCCACTGCTGAATCCATTTGAGGTGGGTAAAATCTGTGGAGGGGAACTCCTGAACTACCTCAGATTTAAGTCCTGAGTTTCGATTACTCAGAATGGGGCTCTGTGAACAGAGTCACATGAACTCTACTCCTTGCAGTGGCTTCCCCGAGGACGCTGGCTCCGTAAAATGCGGCATGGTGTGCCCCCCTTCCCATGGATGCACTGCTGGGGGTATCCTGGCCCTGCTGCTCCATGCCAGAACTCTGAACAAGCCCAGGCCAGCACTGCAGCCTCCAGTCCACCCACTGGGGAAGGTAAGAGGAGATGCCCTGGTAAGCAGGGTGGTGGTGGAACCAGGCTAGCTGAGGTTCTGCAGCACAGGGTAGAATGTGGGTGGAAAAATAGACATAGGAGCTAACCTAATTTGCTTGAAATAATTAGCACCTTTCAGAATGGGATTATTTTTAAGGCATGCTTGGATCCCTGCAGTCAATGAGGATGCTGATAGAGGAGAGTATCTGGAACCAAACCAAGCCAAACTGTTAGGTCAAGCATGTCACTACTCCAGATCTGCCTTTCAGCATGGCTAATGAGCCTTAACAATGCTAATGCCACTGGCTTTCTGTCCCAGAGGTAGCTTAGAGTTGGATTTTTGTCTCTATGCTGCTGTTGTCAGTGTATGTGAGTGACAGGAGGCGAGCACCAAGATCTCATGGGGATAACTGTAGGTGCTGTTTCCCTCTGAGCATCTGTGTGTGCTAACAGAAGTTGTTTTTCTAGAAGCTTCTACTAACAGCCAGCCTCAGGACCCCAATGTCACCTTCTTAAAGAATGTTGGGGAGAGTGTGGCAGCTTTTCTGAGCCCCCTGGGTAAGTGGCTTACAGTTTGTTATCCCAATCCCTGAGACT